AAATGGAGCCAAATTTTTCAAATCCCTGTGCTCCAAAGTAATTTGCAATAAACAGCACCACAATAACAGATTTATTTTCCATCCAGCTCAGTAATTTAAAGTATGTTCTGATGCCACACAGACAGAGGACTTATAAATATAAATGAGGTTTGGGTACTTCTAGTGGAAAACTACTGGGTAAAAGTGAAACGGCTATGGTGTAAATGTTAGGATTTATTTATATGTTTTTGGCTTAACTTTATTCAAAACAACCACCAGTTAAACATATTTCAGCCAGATGTGAAATATAAAGAAAGCCCAGTTATTTTTCATCACTGTGTCAGTCTCACAGGCTACCACTTTTCTGTATTGTTCCACTGGTGATTACTGTGGAGTCCATTCATTTGAACGATGCTCATTAAAACTTGCAACTGGCATAGATATTGTTTCCAGGTGGTTGCACTGGCATATATTTAACATGGGCAAATACAAGGTTGTTCCTTCTACAACCAAGTTGTTCTATTGTGTTGATGTTTTGAGAATGTCTGTGTTTGTAGTGATAGCCACAGAGCAAGTGTATGAAAGGTATTCTTGAGAAATACCTTATTATATAGTTGAATTGGAGGCCCAGTTGTAAATATTTTACTGAATTATTGAACTGAATTAAGAGAAAGTAAGTTCACCACATATATTTCTTGGATGAGTAGCTCTCCAGATATATTCACCATCCTTCACTGACAGTAGGGACAGTCAAATAAATGGGAGTACTTGTTCCCAAAGGGAAATAATACTTTTTCATCCTTTCTTTAAAGCATTGGAGCGGCATAGCAACAGGCTTTAGTATAGAGGTGGTGAACTGCTGGTCTACAGACCCAACTCAGACTTCCCAAGTCTTCCCCAGTGGTCTCCCAGCCCCCAGTCCAAATCGGTTCTGAAAAAAGAAGAGAATCTAAAAGAGCCTGCTGGATCAGGCCAGTGGCCTATCTAGTCCTGGTATGCCCCGCGGAGCACCTTAAGGTCCATAAACAACAACACTTTGGAAGTCCGGAGCCCCAAGGAGGTTAGATTGGCCTCAACCAGAGCGAGGGCCTTCTCAGCTCTGGCCATGGCCTGGTGGAACGCCCTACCGCAGGAGATCATGGCCCTGCAGGATTTGACATCTCTCCACAGGGCCTGCAAGATGGAGCTGTTCCTCCTGGGCTTTGGGCTGGACTCAGTCTAACCTCCCCCCCCCCCAATTTTATTTTTTGATGGAACCCCTTATATGTGATTTGTATATAAATTTTCCCTTGGCTCTTTTTGCTGGCCCATGTAGGACCAGCATGGATAGTTGGCCCTGGTGAATATTTGACATTTTCTCCCCTTATGGCTTTGATCTATAGGCTACCACTAAAATGAGTCTGCATTTTAAGCTGCATTTAAAAGTGTATTCTAACTTATATTTTAATCAACTGGTGGTTTGTTTGTTTTTTGTTTTTTAAAAATGTTTTTAGTGTATTTATATTTAGTATTAGCCGCCCTGAACCCCTTCTTGGCCAGGGAGGGCTGGGTATAAATAAAATTTTATTATTATTATTATTATTTATTATCCTGTTCTCACAGTGGCCAACTAGACGCCTGTGGGAAACCCACAAGCAGGATCTGTACACAAGGACATTCTTCCCTTCCTGTGGTTTCCAGCAACTGAGATTTAGAAGCATTGCTGCTTACAGTTGTGGAGGCCGAGCATAGCCATCATGGCTAGTAGCCATTGATTGCCCTCTTCTCCATGAATTTGTCTGATCCTCTTCTAAAGCCTAGGTTGGTGGCCATCACGAGCGCAAAGCATCAGTGGCTACCATCTTCATAATGGCACTAGACTGGGTGGAAATGTTGCAGACTCTCTGCCCTGCCCAGTGGCACAACAGGAATGCACCTGAAGGGGGCAATGAGGAGGAAAATCCCCTCCCTCAATACATAATGCTTTAGAGGAGAGGGCATGATAGGGATCCATGCGGTCTGTGTGTTGTATGTAAGTGTTTGGGAGTGACTGAGCAAAATGAGAGTGGGTGTGATGACCACACCCTTTTGCCCATGCCAACACCTGACCCTCAGCCCTCAGAGTGTTAGCCAGCATCTAAAGTGGTTCTTGGCCAAAAAAGACACCCTTGCATTAGTGTAATAGAGCCATGCCTCAGATTCCAGAGTGAGGGCCCAATTGAATGCGCTTCCTTTCCCGCTATGGGCTGGGGCTGTTAGGAAAAGGCATCAGAAAACTTAGTGAGAAAGCACATTCCATCCCTATTATTTTTCTCTCTCACACACACAAAAAAAACCTTGCCTTCTACCCTTCTGGCTGAGGGAACCCAGGCAAACTGGCATTCCATTTCCGTCTTCTGCATGAACCCAAGTTTTGAATGTAAAAAAGTTATGTGAAGGGAAAATAAATGCCCCTCTTTTCAGTAGGCAAGTTATGTGAATCTTAAAAGCAGTTGTTGGTGTGACATGTCGATTTATAGTGTTCAATTTTTGTATTTGCTATATAGATCAGAATATGGCTGCACATCCCTGCTGTTATGCAACACATTATACCATTTAGAACTTATGTTATCAGGTATGTTTTGCAGACCCGTTATTGGGTTTTTCTTGTCAAAATAAATTCAAATCACTCAGATGGCATATCTAATGTGACAGAAGCTAATAAGCAAACAGTATTGCTTACAGTTAATACTAGTAAGTGATTTGGTGCTTGGTTTACATACACTCGGGTATTTAACATAGTGTTCTGTATATGTACTGAGATTGGGAGTACTTGAGCTTGTGTGCTTTCTCTCAGTCTCCCCCACCCCTGAAACTGCTTCAGGAGATCTATGTTCGTTTTTAAGCATGGGATCCCTGGTGCATTTAACTTTTGCACACTTTTGCACACAATGATAAGGATGTAGGAGGTTCAAGGGAAAACATGCACCCGAAGCCTGTTTTTGATGTCACTGTACATAGTCAGATGCTGTTGTACTCCCAGCTCCCATCAGTCCCAGCTAGCATGTCCCAGCAGGCAGGAATTATGGGAGTTGTAGTCCAACATCTGAAGGAGACTACGGTGGCTATCTCTAGCATCATGGTTCAGGGAATAAATGGTATCCAAACTTGCCTTTATACCATAAGCTAGCCTGCTACTGGATGAACTGCTTTTAAAACCGCAGGGATGCCTTGATTTCCATATGCCTGGAATTACATTTGTGCCAAACACCTTTGTTGTCCCAAGTGTAATTAAGCTGTTATAACTTTGTTCTGAGGCCAGCCCTTTTGACCGCAGTCCTGAAGGCTTCCAGAAGAGCGTATGGCTTTTAAAAATATGTTAAAATTAAACTGATTTGCCGGTACTAATTTGAACTTTCTTGCACCCCCCCCCCTACCTTTTTGTTTAGGTATTTATGTAAACTGTCGGACCAGGAATTAAGACAGAGTGCAGCTCGTAACATGGCAGATTTAATGTGGAGCACAGTGAAAGAGCCACTGGATACTGCCTTGTGTTTTGATAAAGAGAGTCTTGATCTTGCATTTAAGTACTTTATGTCACCAACCTTAACCATGAGATTGGCCGGCCTCAGCCAGATAACAGTAAGACTTTTTAAACTAACTAAAAGACATATACAGAATTGTTTTCATTTGTACTTGAACAGTTATAAACTAAGGTGTAATAGTCAAAGCTTAGTCTATAGATGAAGCAGTGCTAGATGAGAGTGGGGTAATATGTTCTCTATATGAATAACTTCCTGCAAGTAGAAAGCTAGCATAATGGGAAATGAGTCATTCTAGGACGTTTTTACATGGAGAAACACTTAAAATTGGTTTCGCTACCTGTAGACTGAAATCATATAGATGGCTTTACCACCTAAGGCTTCTTAGCACCTTGTTTGCAACAAGTGTAGACCAAGCCTACCTTTGTAACATTCAAGGCCCTTGTAAGCAGTTCTAAAAAAATGATATCTGCTGTTGGGAGTGGGGGCGGAGGTAGAGTACCACAGACATTGGGTGATACACAACTTAATAGTCATGTTAGCGCAAGGATTAGTGCAAGTGCAAGGATTAGTGCTAGCATCCAAACACACCTTGAACACACCCAAATAAAGTGAATGAAAGTGCATACTTTAGCGATTCATTTCAGTGGGACTTAACACAGAAGGTGTCTCTTGGGGGATTGTGTGTCAGGTTTATAATTTGTGAAGCTAGGCTATAAAATGCTAAGAATCTTGATACGGTTGCATTTTGCGAGCACAGCAGAAATTCAGATGTGCGGCTTGACTTACTGCATTTCAAAACAGCCCTGTTTATTTTTAACTGTGTCATAAAGGAGCAATGTCTTTTTCAGCTTCTTTGACAAAACTCATGGATGGCCAGAGTATGTCAGGCTGTCACAACTGGCACAGTGGTTTATGACATGTCTTCACAGGGAAGAAACTGCAGTAGCACGGTCAGCCCTGCATTGCATTGCATTAGTTCAAGCAGACCATAAGCAAAAGCATTTAAAGTCATACAGAGTATAGTGTGCACTAGGGCAGGCTTCCTCAACCTCAGCCTTCCAGGTGTTTTTTGGCCTACAACTCCCATGATCCCTAGCTAGCAGGACCAGTGGTAAGGAATGCTGGGAATTGTAGTCTCAAAAAGATCTGGAGGGCCAAGGTTGAGGAAGCCTGCACTAGAGCAAAATGTTTCTAATATCTGATTCATTCATCACTGACATTTTGTTCACAGCGGTCTTGTTGCCAAAGCTCCTTGAAGTTACTAGCCTGCACAATTTTTTACTTGCTTTTCTTTTTAACTTTTGTTGTTCTTAAATTTGCAAATAAAAAATTAAGGTAAAGTAAAGAAGGAATTTTTTTAAAAGGAAATAATATAAGAATAATACTAATTGTAACAGAAAAAACCATAATCAGTTCACATTACAGATAAAGTAACAATGCATAGAATTGTAAAGTTGGAAGGGGTGAAAGGGCCACGAGGGTCATCTAGTCCAACCCCCTGCAATGCAGGAATCTTTTTGCCCAGCATGAGACTTGAACCCATGACTCTTAAAGTAAGAGTGTTATGCTCTACCAGCTGAGATATCCTAGACACATGCATTTTAAGTTTCACAAATAAGTTAATATAAGCCCTCCAAATGTCCAAATAGGTATCCACACAAAATTGGCATCTGTATGAAATATGTGCAAATGCAGCCAGGGCTGTGTAGCCTCAGACCATTTGGTAATAGAAGGTATTTATCTTTTTAGGCTCAAAGTATAACCATAACCATAAGGGCTCACAAAATCCACTTGCTTGTCCTGCCGTTAATCCCCATATTACAGGAATATAATTTTAAAATACATGAGCACCTGTAAATGATTTTACCAATACAAACTGATGTGGATAACAACTTCAGGCAAAAAAGAGTATATCACTGGAGAATCCCATGTCATATCCCTCAATGTATCTGTTTGTATTGTAACATTTCCAGCATCTATCTGTGTTGGACAGTGCCTTCCTATACAAACATTGTACAATATACTTGAAATATTAATTTTTGCTGAATAAATTTCAAGTCTAAATATTTCATTACAGATTCTAAAGCAAATTCCCACTGTTTAGGCTGTATAATAACATTCTAATTCCCTATTTGATACGTCTGAGTTCCTTAACGTCTATCTTATAAAGATCCATTAAGCGTTTACAAGCAGCCGTTACAGGTTTAGCTTCCTGTAAGGATCCAATCATTTTTTCCAACAATTTGGGAGATGCCAAAATGCTCAAAGCAGATGGTGCCATAAATAGACACTAGCAAATACTGTACAGCCAGTACAGAAGCAGATCAGGTGGCAAATTAGAGCACTCTTGTCTTTCACCTGGAGAGGCATGGAATTTGGATGCACTCCCTTATTTCCAGACTAGTACCTAGATGTCCAGAATTACTATTTTGGAACATAATAATTTGATATATTTTTCCAGACTATGTATGGAAAAGGAGATCAGCATTTGTAACCCACGTTGCCTTTAGCAAGGTCAGCTGTGGGCACATGTTTTATACAGTAGCTCTTTCTAAATGCCACAGGAACTCTCCGTGTAATAATGTTTGTTCACAGAACGCCATCCTTGTTGTATGGTGAATTTTTCCATTTGAAAACTAGGTCAAGAGCAAAATATTCAAAGAATGTGGTTCTGAAATTAAATAGGGAATATTTGAAGGATGGCATCAAACTTCAATAATGTTCATATTTCTGAAGCTTACGAGGCCACAGGTGGAACGTTATTACAGTAAGCTAAAACATTCACTGTCCGTAAGCAGTTGGCTCTGTATCTGATTCCTCTCAGTTGGTACATTGCAAATTCCAGGAGGTCATTTCAGACAAATTAATATCAGAACCATTTTTTTAAAAAGGAAAACACTTTGCAGTTTCCAGATCATTCTCCACTGCACTCACACTACAGGATACGAGGCAAATAATCGCATTTTGAATGTTTGTTTTCCATTACGATGGGCCAGTTAATGTGTCTTTAAAGCACAAACTAATGGTCCTTTGGTCACGTAATTAAATCTGTCGTCCAGGCATCACCCAAAAAATTGATGAGGGAGGAGGTGGATGTAAAATCTGGCTGTGCTCATTTTTTTCCTTTGCTCAGGGCCAATCAAGTTTTAAAAAGGGGTGAAAAGAGCAGCGAAGAGTGACATCGTGGATGGTGAAAGAGAGGATTAAAAAGTCTTGTTCCTTCCTAGGAAGCACTGCACCTTGTGTACTCTTGCTTGAGGGAGGAGGTGGGGAGGAAAGAAGGAACAGATGCCAAACAAGGCTGTTCAGTGAGTAACGTGAATGAAATGGCCATGTGGTCTGCTGTAATTTCTTTGGAAGAACACATGGTTTATTCTGTATGTCCGAGGGCTTTTGATTGCTGTTTGTAACAGAACACAGCTGCAGTACTATGAACACTCATGTAAAATAGAGCTGAACTGGCTTTGTTGACATGTGCTTTCTAGGAAGACAGCCTGTCTTTGAGGCATCCTTATAACCTCCTTACCTGTGCTGAGCATTCGTTGGTGAGCTAGTAATAAGTGGAGGGAACTATGAATTCCATTAGGAGGAAATGGTCTTCATGAGAAGCACCTTGCTCAGTGATAGAGAAGAGTCATAGCTCAGCGGTTGAGCATAATAATAATTTATACCCTGCCCATCTGACTGGGTTTCCCCAGCATCAGTGGTAGAGGTTTGATCCCTGGCAATCTCTAGGAGGGCTGGGAAAGACCCTGACCTGAAAGCATGGGGAGCTGCTGCAAGTCAGTGTAGACAACACTGAATTAGAGAGACCAGTAGTCTGACTAATAATGTTTGCAAGCTTTCAAGTTCCTCAGAGTTCTTCATCAGGCCAGTAGAGATTGTAGCTGAATCAAGGGAAGATTTTTTGAAATGGGACCCTGCTCTTACTCCCACTCCAAACTCCCAATTCAAGTAGTTGAGGTTTTGCAGGATGACAGAGTCCTTGCTTGTATCCCAGGAAAGGTACAATCCTTTCTTAATTTGGAAGTTGGTAGCCTCCTGAGCATCTCCCACTGCAACTTCAGTTATGACGAAGCATTTGTCTGTTTCTCATTGGCAGCTTTTGACAAATGTAACTAAAATTGGCCCTTCATTTTGCCAGGGTCATCTTAAGTGGGATCTCAAGTCACTATTTAAGGGTTTTACATCAGTTTAGGGATCTCTTGTGGAAAATAAGATCCAGATCTGATTAAGTCAGTTTTTATTGATGCTTCAGTTAAACGAATGAAATCCTTTTTGAGTTTATAAAGCTAAACTTTATTTCCTCTCCCTTTTTATTCCAACTGTAGAATCAACTTCACACCTTCAACGATGTGTGTAATAATGAATCATTGGTTTCAGACACAGAAACGTAAGTAGTTTTTTGAGTACCTTTCATTTAAATACATGCATTCTGACCACTGGACATTCACTTCTATACCTCCCCATGTCAATTTGTGATGTGTCAGAAGCCCAGATATCCACGTTGCATCCAAACTGCAGGCACTGGGTGGGACTGGGCGATGTGGCAGATGCTGTCCAACTTTTTCACTGTGAGCATAGCTGCAAATTCATAGGAAAAGAGTTTCTGGCTTTCTAGTGGCTGGGCACCACCCACCACTTAAATTAGCATTCTTGAAAAATGTTGCCATTCTAGCTGCCAGCCTTGTGTTTTGGTTTGTTGCTTTTGTGAAATAAACAAATGCCCGCCAGAGGTTAGGATGAGAGCCGACAGCTAATCCCAGATAACACACAATGTCTCACAGTAATGTGTGAGAAATCCACTTGAATGCCTACCCCCTTCTGGTTTTGTGAAATGTCGCAGTAGTAGAGGAAAGATAATGATAAATCAAAAATAGCAGCACTAGTCTAAGTTTAACTCTCATTGCTATTCTTGGCATAGAACGAGAAGTCTCTCTCATGACATCCAGAAAAATTTCCTTGGCGCTTGCACATTGTGGGCAAATGGTTGTAGCATGGAGAATAGCTGCTGGAGGTCCTAGTTTGCCCTATCCAGGGGAGATAAAGGAAACTGGTGATTCATTGAGAATCAACCAACAATTGACCTAATAGTGATAAAAAGATAAATATTGTGGCTATCTGTCCCCTATAGAAAGAGAATCAGAGTTAGGGGCCTGTATTGGAGACGCATACAATAATTGGAGTATAGCAGAAAAATTGTTTTGCTTATACACTTATCTTTTGGAAATAGATGGGAAAGTTGATGTAAAAAAAAAGATAATAAATGTCAGAACGATGGTAACATTAATAAATGCAAGAGAAGCACAGCATTAGCAGATTTCCATTATCTTTTGTAGTTTATGACTTGCAGAATTCAGTAGCATTTAATAATAATAATATTTATATCTAGCCTTTTTCCCACCCCAGGGCTCAAGGCAGCTTACAAAAACACAGATAAAAAGCTTAAAACAGAGAAAAGATAATAGTTAAAAAGTAATTAAACACTAATAGAATCAAAACATATTTAAAAGATCTATTAAAAATACAGATAACAACAAAAACATCCCAGCATTAGTCCTTTCCAATCAGTTTCTAAAGGCCTTTGGAATAAAAAGGTATTCACCTGCCAGCAGAAGGACAAGAAGGAGGGAGCCAGTCTAACATCTCTAAGAAGAGAGTTCCAAAGTCTTAAAGCAGCCACCGAGAAGTCCCTCTCCTATGTCCCCATCAAGCATTCCTTTAAGGGTGCTGGGCCTGAGATCAGGGACTCCCCAGAGATCTCAGTGCCAGGGCAGGTTCCTATGAGAAAATAACGATCTTTCAGATAGTCTGCAACTGAGCCAGAGGCCAGCAGAGGTGTTCTAGCCAAGGGAGTTGTATAATCCCGGTATGATAACCAGCCCTGGTCAACAGTCTGGTTGCAGCTCTTTGGGCCATATGAAGTTTCTGAAGTTTCTTCAGAGCAGCCACATGTAGAGGGCATTAATTAAAGCACAAAAGTAATCGGCTAATAGCCTGATGGAGGGCACATTTGCTTAGAAATAAACTACTTCATTTCAGTGGATTAATTATTTAATTTGCACTGGCCTCCAGAAAGGCATTTCTAATGTAACAGCGTGGTTTTTTTCCTTATTTATCTTCCGCTACAGGTTTAGTTTAAATGAATTTGTAGCTATACGCATGCCAGCCATTTCCACTTTGTTCAAAAAAATTCCTTGAATTTGGAAAGTAATCCTTGGTTGTAAATCTGTAAGGAAAGAACAATGGCCTTTTATTTAGGAGACTGAGCATAATACGAGCGCATGAAGTTGCTTGCTTATGGTTTCCCCATTTTATTTAGGTCCATTGCTAAAGAGCTTGCAGACTGGCTGATCAACAACAATGTGGTAGAACATATTTTTGGACCAAATTTGCATATTGAGGTAGGTTTAAAGTGAAGTATGATTTTCTTTGTTAGCCATGAGGCTATGTTTTTAATGTTTTATATTTTTTCCCTTGTTTCCCCTCCAGATCATTAAGCAGTGCCAAGTGATTCTTAATTTTCTCGCTGCTGAAGGCCGGCTTAGTACACAGCACATAGATTGCATTTGGGCTGCAGCGCAGGTATGTC